CCACTGGTAATGGTTATCCAGAATGTAAAACATGGTATCAAAATAAGTAATGTTTTTCTTGGCTTCTGGCCAGAACAGCTGTCAACAAAAGAAAAGTGTATAGGGTCAGAAGGGAAGAAGGCTATGGAAAAAAAAAAATTGAGGCCCTTTTGTTTTCCTTTTCCTGTGAGAAAGAGTCTTCTTAAGCATATTTGTAAGTCATGTGAGCTACTGGAAACTACCAGACCTTCACCTCACAAAACATATAGCCCATTCTAAGTGGTAAGAATTTTAAGAAAAGCCCCTGTGACTAATCTACACCTTCTGGCTTGCTTTGTAGGTGAGTTTGGAGATGCATCGAACAGTAGCTCTTTTAGAGATTTAGAAATGCAAAAGAAAAGATCTGCTTTTCTGAAGCTCCCTCTGAAGCAGCAAATAAGAATACTTTAATTTTCAGTGTATGTTCCTTTTCCTTCAGAAAAATTCTGTGAATTGGATAATATTATTCCAGTTGTCTAAGAAAAGAGATTGAAGCAGAGATTGAGAGGCAAATTATGTGTAGTCACTGCATAAGTACACAGAGGATAATGAAAGAGACCACTCCTGACTGTTGTGCCCAGCAAGGAAAGGATAATTTTGCTATGAGGAATCATTGAAAGATTCCCACTGATAGACATGAGAAAAGAACTGGTCGGTGCCGTGCAATGGACCTACAGTCTGTGTTTGAAGCCCAGGAATGATTGTTCCCATTCCAAATACGTTTTTCAATATAAATTTCCCATAGAATCCTCAACCTTATTGTTTCCTGTAGCAATTCCAGCAAGGACAACCTTAGTAACACACATTTTGGCTGTATTGTAGAAGAGTCAAGCAATAGACAGGAAAATATGAACCAAAAAGGTAGTGAGCTGGCATAGCCTTCATGAAATTAGGTCTCGTGAGTTTACAGATTTTTATTCCAAGGCTTTGGAAAAAAACTTCTCCACAGTAGGTCAGAGCATGAGTCTCTGTGTGTGTCACTTGCCCCCAGCTGTGTGCAACTATTCTGCAAGACCAGCTTTGTAAAGAAGAAAGTGGTAATTTGCTTTCCATGATGAATAGACCAGTCGGTTAGCTGGTGAACAGCTTGAATGGTTCTCCCATTAGAAATTATCTCTCTCAGTATGGAAATAAATTGTTTTAAAATACACTCAGAGGAGAGTGTTTTTTAATAATTTTATGAAACTTTCCACTGCAAGAACAATATGAAATTCTTTCTGCCATCTTAACATTGAGAGTTTTGTTTGCCAGTCTTCTCTCCCAAATAGAACGGTACAATAAGTGTAAATCTTTATGTCAGATTGCTCAGATGAGTAATCTCATTGATTTATAGATGTGTGTGTATGTGTGTGTGTGTGTGTTTCTGTGCACATGTGCCACAGGATACAGAGGGATTGCAGTCCTACAGTGCCAGGTGCTTGCACTAAAGACTTTAACTTATTCGCTCCACCATCCTTGTAATCTGTCAGGGGGAAAACTCAGTTCACCATGCACCTTGCAGTGTGAATGTTGAGCCTGAACATCATTAGATCACAGTGGCTTGTGAGGATGTTCAGGGCATTTCAAAGCTCAGGTGAGTGGCAGATGTTGGAAGAAATTTTATTCCAGTCATAGAACACCCTGTCTCTTCCTCTGTATTTAAAACAAGCAATTCTGATTTCTGTCTTGGATTCCAGTTTAGAAAACCTCTTAGTCATATATCAAGTCTTGCTGTCTTGAATTGATCCCATCTGTGTATTCAGATACACAAGAATATGTGCATGACAGTTTTGGAAGGTTTCCTTGGAGGTGTATGCTGTTGTTTTCATTGATACCACATATATGAAGTCAGCTTTGTAAGTGCAAGGCAGTTTAGGTAAAAGTAGAAGGATCAAGCTGCAGGACTACTACAAAAGGTGTAAAGGAGAGGGGAATGCTAAATAAATAATGAAGTAAAATAAAATAAAATACCTGATGCTTCAACATGTCCTTTCAGTTGCTCCTGGCATGAGCAAGGGAAAAATCAAACAACAAAGTAGCAAAAATTGAAGCTACATTTTTGGACAAAATTTAAATCAATGTCAGGAAACACCCCTGAATTTTTATTCAGATTACTATCTTAAAGGGAAGAAGAAAAATGGCATTTTTTAGGTAGTGTTTGGTAAACTAACAAAAAACAAAAAAAAATCTGTCATCTGTTACTGTATCTGTGCAATTAAGGGTATGATCTTGAAAAGGGCAAATCTGTTTCACCCAGCTAGAGTTAGTTAAAGTGTGGCTAGAATGGAAAGCTACTTTTTCAATAGGCTAATCACAAGGGCAAAACTTAGATACAGTGTCTCAGACCACAATGTCTTAAATTTCGGTCAAGTAACCAAAAGAAACAAATTGTCCAATGTGAAATTCTAGTTTCAATAATAGATAAAATAGATAAAAAAGTTCTGCTGATCAAGATTTTCCTCTAAGAAAATGGAGGACTGTTGTGTACCAGGTTGCCATACAAGTGAATTTTTTGTTGGTTTGTTGTTGGGGTTTTTTGGGGTTGTTTTGGGTTTTTTTTCATTTTAGGTGGGTTTTTTAAGGATTTTTTTATTTAATTTTCTTTTTATTGTCTTCTTTTAATAAGCCAAATCAACACCTGGCAGTCATTCTGATTTTAGACTTGTCTCAGGTCATTGTACAGCTTCATCAGTTTTCTGGCAAAATCAGGTCCCTTGATATGTTTCATTAGAAACACTCCCTCCCACACCTCAAGATGCAGTGATTGTCTAGCAGTACTTTGAGTGTATTTATTTTTCATTACCATGCAATTTTTATTTAATTAAGGTGTACATATATTGTTACAGCAGGTGCACAGGATGGTTAGCTGTCTACCTTAAAATTGTATGGATATGCAAAACCTTTGTCCTGGCATATGTTGTGTTTCTGCAGTCCAGCTGAAATGCCTACTTCACACTGAATCCAGAAAATGTCTTTGCAGGCTTTATTAATCGAAATCTTTTGATTACCAGCACACTGGGTATGCTCAAGCACTGGTGAGATCTTTCCTAGATGCGGATGAGTCAGTATAGTGGTTAGTGTGTAAGGCTACACATTTTTCATATTTTGGGGAATGAGTTTCAGAACCCCAGTGGAGAAGAGGGGGTAAAACTATAGTATGTTTCAGAGCTACAATGCAAAGTGAAAGAAAGGGGAGAGACCAAATGATTTTTTTCTATTTTTCTTTAGCAAGCAAGATGAAGCAATGGCTTTGGCTAATCATGGGAATGAAGATACATTCATTGCAGCACGGCTCCAGCAGACTTTGGCTGACCTGGATGAAGATTTAGAAGGTAGGGAGATGTGTGTTAACACTGAAGTGCAAAAGACAGAGACACAGCCAGTGGATGCAAAATCAAGCTATACTCTTGAGACGTTCTGCATGTTTCTCACTAAGATCACAGGGAACAACTCATGAGTATGAGGTAGAATGTGGTCCTTCCAAAGTGTCTCCTTTGCTTCAGGAGCAGACACCCTTTATAGGCTCCCACTGAATATTTTTCAAACTGCTTATCAGATTATCATTGTATTTCCGTGTCTTCTACCAAAAAGAGATGAACAGCAGTCAATGGACACATAGGCCAAATTTAGTATAATTTCATTAACTTCAGTGAAGCTAAATCCGTTGTGAATTTAGCTCTTTGTTTAATGAAGAATGCCTCTGTTTATATTTTATCATTATAAAGTGGAAAAGGATGGAACGTTTTTATACCCAGTGTCCCCTCTCTGTTAACAGGCATATTTAAAAATTAAAAATAGAAAAACATTAAACAGTGGGAAGAGATAAAATGTCATATTGTGCTCCTCTTTTTCCTACTGTGAATTAAAATACTTCTTTACTATTGGTTTGTCAACAAATGACATTGAACACTTTTTTTTTTAACTTCACATCTTCATTTTAATACTTCTGCAATGGACTTGTGTCTGATTTGTTTTCTTGTGAGTTCTCAGACACAGCCATTCCTTAGCTTGTGTTGTAAGCTTTGATTTATACCAGCAAATTTGAGAGGATATATAGCCCTCCTGCACAATGAGGCTTCTGGAGTCACTGGTAATAAAGGGTGAGAAGAATGGAGAAAAAATAAAAGTACTGTTTCTTTGTTTGCTTGCTCAAGGAAATCCTTCAGCTGGGCTGTTATTACTAACCAGGTCTGGGAAACATAATTTGGAGTTGCATGCTGTTTCTTAGAAATGTTTCTCCTTTGGAGTCATGTGGTGAAATGTTTATCACTTAGATAAGTTAGTCAAAGATAAGGTATGAACAATAGATGAAATTCTGCTTTCAGCTGCATTTGTGTGTTTCCCACTGGCTGAAGCAGGAGAACTGCAGGAATATTTTGCTAATAATCCTAATAAGCAACCAGACAATAAGCAGGACCCAGACGTCTCCCTTTTTTGTAATACTGGCATAAAAAAGAGCCTGTTACTTTGAGTGTAACTGAAATACCTGGTTTGCTTAAACATATATAGGCTGTTTCTGTAATTTATAGACATATTGCCTAAATACTGCCTATATATAGCATTCTATGTGTATTTTGCAGCAGTGGATGGTGTCAGTAACTCTGACTCTGACTACACTAGCGAAGCCTTGAACCCACATGTAAGAAAATTTGAGGCCGCCCAAGATGTTTCCATTTCTGTTCCAGTAACAATCATAGATGATGCTCCAGAAGTTAGCACCTCTAACTCAGATGAAAATCAAGAGATGGAGATAAAGGTTTCACACAATATCTCAGCTGACTCTGTTAATGCAAGAAACTTTACAAATAGAAACAACAATGCAGGTTCCTTTGATAAGGGACACACAGATGGTGGAGCTGTATGCAAGGACCTAATATATCAGCAACCATCTGAAAATGAATTCATTCACTTGCCTGTGGAACAGAGGAGAGATATGTTTGAATCTCTCACATCCTCCTTTGAAAAAAGAAATGAAAAGAACTTAAGACTGGAACCCTCTCCTAAACATGGTGTGAAGTCTGAGGAATGTAAATCCAAGCTGAGTCCATCTCACTGCAAAGCCACGACTGAAATCAGTACAGCAAAAGAGAAGCTGAATCCAGTTAATGAATGTAGTAGCAGGGAGAGATCTCTGAAAAAAAGCAAATCAGAGTTGGAAATCAAATGGCCACCAGCAAAAAAAACTGAAGCAGAAGTCCCATCAACACCCACATGGTGTCATCGTGCCCAGAATTCAGGATCAACCTACGAACCTAAAATGGGTTTGACAACCTTTAAAGTTGTCCCTCCCAAACCCGAAGTAAGACATTTTGATAGAGGAGTTTCACTCTCCACTGGTGCCATTAAAATAGATGAACTAGGCAATCTCATAGGCCCAAACACCAGTGTTAGTAAGCATGTACAAGGTTCTTCTGATGAAAGTGAGGAAATTCATATTGGGAGAGTGAAGGCATTCTGGAGGTCAAGTTCTATGGAAAAGCAAAGTGACGACTCTGCTGAGCATTTTCCTAAAAAGTCAGCAGTCACCACAAACTCTAAGCCATTTACTATAAAACATGAGCACAAACCTGTCTGTCTTGCAGCTCCAAAACCTGCAGCACCACAAACTGTTAGTATCCAGGTAGCTGAAAGACAACCTGAGAATGAAAGAGCCAAACCAGCTCTTTCAGTTACACAGTCCCAGGTAACACCATTAGCAGCCCCAGCTGTTAGTAAGGACAAGCTGGAACTCCCATTCGTAAAGCCACACAGGAGAACATCAAGTCAGTATGTTGCTTCTGCCATTGCAAGACACATCAATGCAACTACCTTTAAATCTGACGCTATGGAATATAATGAGAAAGATGAAAACAAGCAAGGGGCAGGAGAGGTTAAGAATGAAGCAGAAGTTTCACCAAAAAGATGTATTATTGTGGCCAAATATAGCCCTGTGGAAACAGAATCAACAGAAACAAGAGAAACGCTTTCAAGTATTTTTGCTTGTAGTCAGAAAGCATGCCACAGATTTACACCTGGTGATAATTCTGGCATGGAAAACAAAGTAGTTAATATCAGGGCACCAAATCAAGCATATCCTGTGAGTTTTTATAAAAAGAATGCCAGCGTCCCACTTACTAAATCCTCTTCAAAGGATAACAACAATGCAGAAGATGATCATGATTTAAACAGCAAACAAAGTGTAGCAGAGAAAAAGACTGTGTTTGACCAGAAATGTGAGACTTTGACCCATACTAATTCAGCCTCATCTCTCAAGTCTCCTGATCTCCAAGGAGTCCCATCCTCTTTCAGCTCATCTTTGCGAGTCACTAAATGGCATCCCGCTAATGGTGTACAAGTTAGTCCACTTAAAGCTTCACCTGAGCTAAATGGTGCAGCAGCAAATGCAGAGTCAGAACAGGAGGAGAAACCTGTTGATTCAGATGTTAATACTGTTGGTGAACTGGATGCTAATGTGCAGACCAATATTTTCGGACCAAAGAAGAAGTTCAAGCCTGTCATCCAAAAGCCAGTTCCAAAAGACACATCATTGCACAGTGCCCTAATGGAAGCCATTCAAACAGGAGGGGGAAAGGAGAAACTCAGAAAGGTAAAGTGAAACCTTTTTTAACCTGATCAGACTGTCGAGCCCTGTACTCACCCTGTCAGACACCAGAGATTTGGTAATCTGTACAGTTCGCGGTGAGCCAGAGAACACAAGGCATTTGAAAAATTTATAATGGCAAAATGCAGACCAAGCTGCTGCTTATTCTGCACATCCTGTATATTATGCAACATCATGGCTGCTGCACTAGCTAGAGGAGGCAGGGGGTGCATAGACACAAATAAAGGAGAGGTAATTGAGGTTAGTCTAAGAGCCAAACCCTCATTTCAGTGTATCATGTAAAAACAGGAACACACAGTGTGGAAAAAACTTGTAAATACCTGCAGTGAAAGAAAATTGTAATATTTTTTTTTACTAGAGGATAATAGTATGCCATTGGCTTCTTGCTCAGGGGATATGGACTGCATCTCCAAGTACAGCATTACTATCTATACATATCCCTACTGTTCAGTGTGAGTAAGGTTTTACAAGCAGGCTCAAAAAAAAGATAAACTGATTAGTCTTCATAGTTTGCATTCCGGTACAAGTGCCAAAAAGTGTTTCCAAGCTATCTCTAAGTAAATATCTAATAACAATGTGAGGTTTGTTCTCTCCATATTCCAGGTTTCAAATAGTGCACTAAATAGCAGTCACAGGAAACCCTCATACACTGAACCAGAGAACGAGCGCTCAGCCCTACTAGCAGCAATTAGAGGCCACAGTGGCACCTCAAAGCTAAAAAAGGTAAGAAATCAAGATGGTAAGTGATCTTTGAAGTGCAGTCTTTTCCTTCTGAGTGTTTTGAATAAACCTAAATATCCCACAAATGAAACATTGTGCTGCAAAGAGAGAAGTTGAAGGGGTAGCCATATGACAGACGACCAGATCTGACTTAAGCAGAGAGCATACAAGGTTCAATCCTATTCTCTGCTATAAAACTTAAAAGTCTTTCAAACTGTGTGCATTTGGCTTAGAAAGAAGCAAGTAGAAATCCAAACCAATTACAGGGAGTCTTCATAGAAGACATCAAATATTCATCATTTTCACGTTTAAATGAGGTCTTTCTTTAGAATGGTTTTGGTTGGAGAGGACTTAAGCATTATCTAGGTCCAACCCCTCTGCTTTGAGGAGGGACATCTCCCATTAGACCAGGTTGCTTAAGACCCCATGCAACCAGCCCTTGAACACCTACAGGGATGGGGCATCCGCAGCTTCTCTGCACAGAGAAGCTGTACTTTAGGAGTTTACAGTTGGATTAATATATTTGCATTACCTACCATATATATTCAGTCCTGACTTCCTGAAAACACACTAGGGCTTCTTCATACATGCTGTTTATCTGCTAACATGGTGCAAGTTGTATTCAAGTAATTGATGTTGATGTTTCATCAACATTCACCGCAGCAGGATGATTCCTTCTCTCTGAAAGATTTATCTAATAATTAAAGCATCCCTTATTCCTAATAGCCAAAACCTGCATTGTTCTAGCCTTAGTTTTCACTCAGTTGACTAATCCAGTCAAAGATGTGTCCTTGGCAAGGAAGTTCCCATTTCCCTCGAGCAATGACTCAGTTCATTAGCACATATCCAGATAGCTGGCATGAGATAGAAAGGTTCTCTTGCCTGTGTTAGGGAATTACTTCACCCCTCATATATCCTACTGCCCTTGCTGCAGGTAGGGCGCAGCTTTCTGTAAGCAGGATGTGCTAAGCAGCAGCAATCTGCCCACATATTTAACTGCATTCTGCACTCATTAGAAATAAATAGCAATTTGTGTAAAAGAGGCTCTGTTAATGAAGTCATCACAGAGACTTTTTGGAATACTTTCCTCTTGCAGAGAAGCAGAGAAGTTTTTGCCATGGTTTTAAAGGAAGTTGCCTAGAAACCATATGCTTTTTCACACCATGTCACCTGTGCTAATTAAAGCAGTGTGTTTGAGTCTGTACAGGGCCCAATACAGATGTGCTAACCCTTTCATGTTGTCTCAAATGTTCACCTTTCATCTTTCATCTAACACAACATGATGCTCATACATCTATATATATATATATATATATCTTGTTACGTATATATATGTATAGGGAAGGAATATAATACAGGAGCTCTCTGTGGATTATTTTAGGGGAGATTAATCCTTTAATTTTTCACCACAGCAGCTCTATGCTGCAGTTTGTCTGAGAAATTAATTATAATGGATCTGCTTGGAAACCTCCTATTTGGCCCATAGTACTGAATTTCCTAATAATTGCTGGATCATTGTAATTATTAACAATTCATCATGATTATTACTTGTAATGGTGTTAATGACAAAAGTATCTCATGACACAGTTGATGGAAAAGCTGACCTAGTCTGAAAGATTGTCTTCTTCGCCTGCATGCATTTAAAATAGGATGAGTTTCCAAGCTGGTAATTTGTGCAGAAATTTTAGTTTCTGAAATTCCACAGAAACACACTTGGAAGAATAATCAATTGATTTTGTTCTCAGTGCTTTCACATGGCTCTCTCTGGTTTTTTTTGTTTGTTTGTTTGTTTTTTAAGTATGGCTGGAAACTTTAGGTTTAATGGCTTTTTTTTCAATGAAGCTATGTCTGAGAGCTCAGATCTGGAAGAGCTTTTCTGTCATCTGAGATTATTTCTATGCAGCCCAGACCATAAAAAGTAATCATATTCCTGGGTGGCTACTGCAGCCTTAATATATCTTCCTGATTCCAAAACCCTTGCGGTTGTTTCCAAATTAATACCAAGTCCAACTTTCTCTCTTACCTTACATGCCAATAAGAGTTCCAGGATGCTGAAGCTCACAATAAATAAAGATTGAGTTTCTGAGACAGACTCAATGCCAAGTCCTCGATGCTGGTAATCAGCCCAGCTGAGTGATGTGAGTGAATAGCAACAGATGTTCAATGCCACAAGGAAACAAAAGGACTATGGGTTTTACATCATCTAAGAAAAATGAAATCAGGGTACCGAAAGGGCATCAAATGTCAAATAATTACAGTTATCCATGCTTGATATTAACCACTTTCTTTCAACTGCATGATGAGCAGATTTCCTCATTGGCCTCCCAAGAGCTGCAGCGTTTTAGGGACACAGAACGGTCCTTGCAGAAGGCAGAAGACCTTCAGGAAGAGCAGCTGTGTATCCCACCTGCCCCTGCCCAGCCACCACCACCACCGCCTCCCATTCAGCTGTCAGCAGCAGCTCCTAAATCTTCTGCCACTGCTTCAGGTAATCCAACTGAGGCAAGGCAAGCCCTATTGGAGGCTATTCGCTCTGGTGCTGGAGCAGCAAAGTTAAGAAAGGTAAATATACTTTCATATTTTACTGGGGATGAAACAACCTATGCTTGCTGTGTTTTCAGAACCATTTTTTAGCTGTTCTGGGCACAAATTTCATTCTTCCATCAGAAGAAGGTACATGCACTATTACCTCTAACTGAATCAAAGATTGGGAATGTATTGGAAGCCTTTGAACAGCTAATGAAACACACCCGTGCATATATACAACCATATGAACAGACAATGTGTTTTATTAAAAAGACCACCAAGAGTATGACTATAATTTCAAAAAGCATTTTCATGACCTTTTCATTCTATATTCTCTGAGATAATACTGGATGTCCTTTGGACAAGGTGAGCCTAAGGAAGATCAGATATGAGACCCTGAAACAAATTTATATATAAATATTCCCTCCTAATTTCAGTAGTGGGTCTTAGACCTTGATTCCCAACACTTAAACCTTGATCACATGTGCTGAGAGCTGTTGGTAAAACTGTGAGGTTAATTTAATGTCTGCCTAAACTTTATTAATTGAATGATGTGTGTTTCACTTTTGCGGTTATATGAATCTGTCAGCTCCCAGATGGCTAAGTGTGATTTTTGGAGTAACTTCACTTATCTCTTTGATCAAAGTTTGTTCTTCCCAATCTCAGGTTACTTTGTGCTTCTTGGTAAAGAGAAGCAGATCAGTTGTCCTGAGTGGAGGCATCCCAATATTACACTGCAGTATCCATGAATAGACATTGATCCAAGGACTTAAGCGAATGTAGAAAAGCAGATGTAGTTTTCCTAACACGTGAGTTAGCTGATGCCACTCATAAATGTGTAAATTGACTTAAACCTTGCTCCCTTGTCCTCTTTTAAATAATTTTAAAATGCACTCAACTTTGAACCTTCAAAAGTTGTCCGAATATCTGGTTTCTGATAAACCAGAAGTATCACAGAATCATACAAATGGCACAAACAAATCAATGTTTCAGGGAAAACTACATCAGCATGTTTTTATTACATCAGGAATCTGGATGTGCAGTTAATTTTTCATGTGAAATATTATATCTATGTTATGCATACAATTATGAGGAGCAGCTGAGTTCACACTTGGTTTGTTCAGCTTGGAGAAAGCTGAGGAGCAACCTCATTGCAGTCAGTGCTTTCCTTGAGGAGGGAAGCTGAGGGGCAGGCACAGTCTCCTCTCTGTGGTGGTCAGCAGTAGATCCCAAGGGAATGGAATGCAAAGCAGCTGTGTCAGGAGAAGTTCATAGGACAGTAGGAAAAGGGTCTTCACTAAGAGGATGGTTAGTCAGTGAAACAGGCTCCCCAGGGAAGTGGTCACAGCACCAAGCTTGACAGAGTTCAAGGAGCAGCTGGACAATGCTCCTAGTCATATGGTTTAGTTTTAGGCAGTCCTGGGAGGAGCAGGGAGTTGGACTCAGTGATCTTTATGGGTCCCTTCCAATATGAGAAAATAGATATTCAAGGGTACTTCATGCAGTTGTTTTCTAGATATTTTCAAATTTCTTATTCTTCCAACTTCATTGCTCTTGCAATCTCTGAGGGGATCCATAGCTCTACTCATGAAAACAAGTCTTTATCATATCTTTGGGGATTTATTTCAAAACACTTGGATAACCAGTGCAGGTCATGAAAGTACACCAGATAGAGTGGTATATTCTGCTAAATACTGTGCCTGTCTTGTCTCATTTCCAAGACAGAGTAATTTTTGCTTTTGACATTGAAACAACAGAAGAGTACATCTCATTATATAGGTCTCTTATGAAAATAAAAGAGAGCACTGTTTTGTCCAAGACAGAGTATGATTTTCTTATTATTGTGCTGTCCTTCCAGATATTGGATATGCAAGCTAGTCTTATGTATGCCAAAGTCATCATAAGACTTTGGTGTCTGAGATCTCATGCCCTTGACAACTGATTAAAGTAAAAAAAGTTGTCAGATTTCTGAAAAGGCTTTAGTAAAAATGTTGTCAGATTTCTGAAAAGGCTTTTTATCCAGTGTATTTAATATCTCTTCTAGTTTTATGTGTTATATTGAGAGCCAAATTCTGATCATTCCCTGCAGTTGGACAATTTGTGATAGCAAAAGTTGAATCCATAGAGGAAAAAGAATACATAATAGCTGAATATCAGGGTTTTCTTCCTTTACCCGTGTCTAAGGAAAACTGAGTTTTTTGTAGACAGTAGCTGAGAGGTTGCTTTGTGCCAGGGATGAAGCCTTTTTCTTTGTTTTGTCTCCTCTGTCAAAGTTCTATGATGTTGTGATTTGGAGATGTGAGCACAGCTCTGGTTTTGGCTTTGCTTTCTGGAAGATTTTGGTTGCAGCAGCTAGACAGCAGAGTAGGTAGTTCAGTACTGGCATCTGTTTCTCTTCCATTGTCTTCTCAAAGTCTTCTGGGGCAAAGGCTTCTGACAGCAAAGTCATTTATTTAGCTAATATTGTGGAGAAGTGGTAAATCTGTGCTGCATAATTATGTGTGACTTGTTGCTTATTTGTGTGGGGTTAGCTGCACTGGAAGTGGATCAAACATAGCTGTCAGAAGAAGCAAATGTAAAAAGCAACCAATTGCCTAGATAAGGAGCATCCCAACAAGCATTTGAGCTCAAGTAATATCTGTGAAAAGGCAGCTCCTCCACTCTTCCCCTGATTACACAGCTGTTTGCTAAAGTCATGAACATTAAGGTTAAAAGACTGCTGTGCAGGAAATGAGGAGAGAACTTGCTGCAGGCTGACCTTGCTTAGCTGAGAGTCAGGGTCTGCACAGCGCAGTCTCTAATTGGGTCAGCCAAAAGAAACCAGAGCAGAAATAGATGCTTGAAGGAAATGCCAAGTATAGGTAAGATGGTATATGCATAGCTCTCCTTACGCTTCCTTAATCCATTTGTTGGAGTACTGTGCCTTTTTTGGTAATTAAATCACTCTTTGTTTTGAGAAATGGCTTCTGTTTTATTGCACACTGTTGCTGTCCAGAGACTCCTGAAGGAAAATTCTTGCAGGTGCCAAGCCCAGTTGATCCTGCTCAGTCAAATGGTTCATCCCCAGTGCAGGGCAGTTCAGAGGCCTGCCAGAAAGTGGTTACACTACAGGTCCTTCCCAAAAGAAAGGGAATTTCTCAACCTGGAAAGACCTGACAATGTGCAAGGAAGTAACCCTTTTCTTCAGTTTTTGAAATGGTCTGTCAAGGAACCTGACAGGTGTTCAACAGTACAAATAACAAAGTATAACAGAAAGTCAGGGAGGTGGCATCAAGTAAAGCCACCAGCCATGATGGGTCCCCAGTGCCTTTGGTGGTTACTTACGAGAAATTAACATCTTACTAGCGAGGAGTCTGTCCCAGCCATGGGGTCTGCTGCACATGCAAAGGAGAATCAGTTGATCTAGGAAGCTCATCTGAGACCAAATTTTGGCTGATTCTGGTGGACAAAACTCAGGTCAATGTTCTGATTTTAAAAGTGAACTAGTGTTTTCCTGAAAAAGTATCATATAGTTAAGATCTATATGTGCAGTTTTTAACTTCCTGTTTGCCATCTCATAAAATGCAAAATAACATAGCTAGATGTCTGAAATTCACTATATCAATGCCTGTGTATTTTTGTGTTTATGCAACTTGCCTTGGGATTTACCATGATTATTTGTGGAAACAAAACCATAGTTACATCTGCAGATAACCCATTAGATGTCTAGCTGTAGGTATAGTTCCAGCACAAGTCCATGCAGGATTAAAAATCTTAACAAAGGGAAGCAATAAAAGTTGCTTTAGCTTATATGCCATTTTAGGTAGAATTGTACCCAGGGATTTGGTAGAAATATTGCAGGAGAATGTGTCTGCACACAGTGAGAAAAGCAAGTTATGGCTCTGAAGAACAGGCTCTTGGTAAGGTGATTGCTTTAGACCACTTTGTAATGGGGTGTGCAAGGGAGATTCTGCAGGTTCCAATATTTTCCAATAAAGATTGCAGTTGCACCAAAGCAGCCTTTTCTGTTTGTTCACTGAGATTTTAAAAATTAATTTGGCTCCATCACAGTTCCCACAAGCATTCATGGTGATGTTTGGAATCAGCATTAGGTCAGCTCTTGATACGTGCAGTGTAACATTCTGTTGGCAATCAAAGGAGCCAGGTAAGATAATTACTGCACCAATTGAAATGAGTCCTTGTGTTCTCTGGGATAATTTGGAGATGGTTATCAACAAGTTGATCAAAATTATGGCACGTTGAGTGTCTTCTAGGAAGCGTGGCCTAGTTCCATACCTTTTCAGTCAAGCAGTGGACTATTTTTCTCACATAAGCAGAGAATTATAATTGTGAATGAACAAATACTGTTTCTTATCATGAGTGTCTGTGGGTGCAATGAAAGAAATTACAGACTCAAAGCTACAGTTGATGTAGGCTTTGGTGTGCTGGAAATGGGGCAGGAGGCCCAATGATAAGGTTGGCCAAGCTTGATATACAGGTAGCCAAATGAGCCTATAAAGTGATTCTAGTTCCCATGCACTGTGAGAGGCAGACTTTTGCATGCTGTTACTCTGAATTGGAAGATAAAACATAATTCGAACTCTTCACCTTGCTAATAATTTATACCATGACCTATTTTTTTCCTTAAGGATAAGGGTCAAAATGGAAAATTTAGACTTGATCAAATGCATTATTCCTGTTAAGCTTTTGTGCTGACCTTAATGTGTATCTCTCTGATAGAATCAAAGCTCGGTAACTTTGAATTTGGAGGAGCACCTTGGCATATGTATTTAAAATTAAGCATATGCTTAGATGACCCAAGGACTGGGAAGGAAGATAAGCATTTGTTGTTTAAGTGTTTTCCTGAACCAAAGCCACTGGGAGTTTCCTTCAATCAGGAAGCAAAGTACCCATCAATTGATTTTTATGGCCAGTGACAGCTAACCAATATAGAACATACTTCAACTGACAGATGTTGCATACTTGCAGCTTGGGCTTCTGTTCATTCTACAAAATGAAGGAATTTCTCAGAAAAATGCATCACCTATCCTCCAGAAATAACACAATTGCAATCATGATATCTAAGGGTGCATGAGGTGTGAGTTTTTTAGGGAAGAATAGCACTATTCATTAGAAGAAGTGATAAAGCTAGGTAAAAAGCAGATAAGCTTAAGTAGTCTCAAGGAGCAGATGAAGAGACTAAGCTTGAAAACAGCCCCACAGGAGAATGTTTGGTTAACAATCAGCAGTTGGAGGTTTAAAAATATCTTGAATGATCATGTGCTTTTCTTTGTTACAGGTCCCTCTGCTTGTTTGAATCATGTAAAAAGAATAGGTAACTGGAAAATCTAACCCTGTATGCACCCATAATCATCGTTCAAAGTCTGAAGTGGCAAAAAACATCAAGAAGTTTAGTTTATTCTCTTGACTACAAGCCAAAATAAGTTGTAGTTAATTTTCTGTGTGTTCCTGCATAATGGTTCTAAGGGGAAAATTGTTGCTCGGCTGTAAAGCTTCTGTGCCAAGGAATTGTGTTTTGCCTCTGAATATTTAAGGTTGCCAATAAACTATTCTTGTTGGCAGGTTAATAAGACTATAAACACTGTGCAGTCCTGTGGTAATTGTGTTTATGGGCAAAACTAAAAACTTTGCTAGCTATCTGAAAAATAATACTCATTTCCAGCTGTTAAAAATATGTAACTATTTCAAAGTATTTACTTGCTTTTTTTTTGATTTCAAGAAGGGCTAAGGATTTTGATTTCAAGAAGGGTAAGCAATTAGGCTGAAAACAAGAGTAAAGATCTATAAAAAACAATCACAAGAAAAACGTTATGATACCTAAATTGTCATGTGCTGGGGTCATTGGTTTTTAAAATCAAATTAACTTTGTATCTCTGCTGGAGCTCTGAGAAAGCAGGAAATCAGTGAATGTGAGACAGTGTCTATTTAAAAGTTACTTATGGGATATGATGTATAGAATGCTAATGTGCAGAGATATGCTGAACCCTGGTAACAAACATGGCACTTGTTTGAATATTGAGCCACCTTAAAGGATCTCTATTTGCAACAAACTGTGAAGATTATGAATAAATTCAGAGCACAGAGGTCCAAGATGTAGAATTCATTCTGCACCGTAAAATGAAGTGGAGCTGGTTTGTATCTATCAGTAACCGTGACTTTTGTGGTCTATTGTTTAGGTCATGCATAAATTGGCCCTTGGTTTCTAATTTGTATGGCTGTTGTATGTTGTCTCACAAGTATTTATAGCAGCATCTTTTTCAAATATTAACTACTTTGGTAGTTGTTCTTGTTGTACATATTTTGAAAATATTTCATTAAATTGATTAACTTAAAAAGGACAAATGAAAATGCTTTTTCATATTTCCTATATTGTAATGAAACTAAAAAAGAGGAAGTTTGTACATTTACATTTTTATAATCAGAGACTACAGTGGTATCAAATTTTTTCTTTAAGCTGGAATTTAAAATGTATAGGTATGGACTGTTGAAAGCACAAGCATATTTAGCCATCTGCATTTAATATGACTATATATTATATATTGTAAAATATTGATGTCTGTTAGTGCCACAAATAAAAACAAAATCAAAACCTGACTTGATTTTAAAGGCTCTTTTTTTGGTCAAATATTTTCCATTTGCTGAAAGGAATTGGAACTAGCAATGGACTTTAGTAAACCTGTATTCTGTGCTCAGTATCTCGAGTCAAATGTAAGATATCTCAAGCCAGGAAAGTGCTCACAACTAACAGTTTAGAAGTGCAGTAGACATCACCAGCTAGGATCAATATGTGAGTTATATACATTTCAGCAATGATAGAGTACTGGTAATGTTCCATTTCCTTATTAGGAAGCTTTTACATTCAGAACTAAGGTGGTCTGTTGCACCCTAGGATAAATAAGATCACCTCTCTTGATCGTGATTATCCTTCTTTTGTCTTTAAAATCCTCTAGGTGTGCTGGAGATCAGAAGCGCTAACATTTAAAATGCTATGACAGGAAAAGATTCAGTCAGTCATAAGTTTGATTCTGTAGGTATGTGCTCCTTCCTTGGCTGGTTGCTGCAAGGCAAATTTCAGTGCACCTCTCCTTCTTCTTGTTCTTAGTGTTGCTTGAAGGCCCTGGGTGCACAGTCCTTCTTTCTAACACCCTTTTAGTCTTATAGTGCTAAGTTATATGAATACTTTATTTTCAGTGTAAGAGATTCAAAACTGGATTTTTTGACAATAACGTTCTCTGGGTTTCACAAGGCAAAGGTTCTGGTTCTGGGTGCTGGCACTGTATAGACCTGTTTCTAAGTTTTATTCATAGACAAACTTCTGAATAAAAGCTATAAAAACAGCTACAAGTTAAGATGTCACCTTCATTTTACAGCAAAACAAAATTACAAAACCCCTGATGGCTCAGTCACAACTCAAACTAAAAATGGAGGGGGAGTTCAGCTACCCACAGTAGCCTAGGCTGGATATTCATCCCCTGCTCATGTCAATGGGAGTTGCATCTGCTCTTAAACTGTCATCCAGGTGCTGTTAATCTCTTGGTAGCAGCTCTATTTAACCCCAGATGAATGCAGATTTTACTGTAAACCCATTTATAATGAAGTCTAGTTACGGGTACGACCCTTCCATACAGTAACTTTCTGTTCATGCTTTTAGTAGTAATAATGATTAGTTCATCCTGAATTAAAATAAAAAGCCTGAAATGTGTCTGGTAAAGACATGGCTTTCTCAGTACCAAGTATTTTCATCTATATGGCTGCTCTTACTGTCCCACACTGTTTGCTAATGCAGACACAGCCTGTGTCTAGAGATGTATATGTTGCCCAAGTTACGCTCTGACGTGTCCTGTCATGGCACAGTCTGCAGCTTCCTTTCTTTTTTGAAGGACTGCAAGAAGGACACTCCCCTGTTCCATAGTGTCTCTCCACCTAGATTGTCCCCACATGCTCTTGCCTCAGGTCAACCAGAGGAAAGACTCAGATATATGCCTGATCCATCCAGCCCTTTAAATTTTCTTTTTTAGTAAGCGATCTAAATTAAGTGAAAAAATGGTATCACCAAAGAAATTGAATGGAGAATTTGGATTTGATATGTTTATTTATTGTACAAGTATAATTCAATATTCAGAACTTAAACAAATCTAATCTCATGTCTCAAATAAAAATTTCTGTTTCTTTCCTCCCCTTTTTTTTACGTGTTTTTTATTGTTTGGGTTTTTTTTAAACTTGAGTTTAGAGTATTACTCAACCATTAAGTCAGCATTAGATCTCTCTGATTAGATATTTAATTTTAAACAATACTGGTTGTCTGCATGAGCTATTTGACTTAGAGGAGTTCATTGTAGATTTTTTTTTTTTTTTTTTGGTAAAGACAGCCTCTTAACATTAGTCATGCAACATATTGAACCAAAAGACTCCTTGACATGCACATTAATCTAAAGAGTTTCAAACATGGCAGGGTTCAACTTATCCAGCTCATACAAGTGACTTGCACTATTTATGCTACATTTGCCACAGCCAAAAATTGGTACTTCTTCAGCATGTAGGAGAAAGAAAGAGAACAAGAGATGCATTTATGAAACAATGGGAAATGACACTCTGAGATAGTTTTCCCTCTAACATCTTCAGAAAAGAAAGAAGCAGTTCTGTTGTTGAGTGCTGCTTAACATTAATGCAAGGTTTAATTTGAATCCAAGGATTTGCACAAATCTTGGTTTGGATCAGTTTGTCTGAATGAAGTGCTTATAAATCGGTTCTTTGTTGGTACAATATGAAAAATAGTTGTCTTCTGCAACCGTTAATTAGCAACTTTTACATATGTAAAGTATTTATTTGTGTGTATTGCTTCTCATCTCTAATCCCCCGTTGGATTACATATGCATTATGTGTACCAAGGTGCTTTGCCTGTGAGACTTCTGTTAAGATTTATTAGACTATTCCCATTGCTACTCCATTTGTTGCTGCTCAGTGCACACAACAAAATACTCCATGCCCCTACGATATAGCTTTAGCTGACATAATGGTGTATTTCCCCACTTGCAGAAAATGACCTTTGCAATGATAAAGTTCTTTTTTAAGCATAAAGTGAAACAAAATCCTGATTTTCAGTAGTGTTCACCCAGATTTTGTGCATCACTGTTTTGATCTGCTTTGCTTTTTGCTTTTTTTTGGTTTTGGGTTTTTTGGGGGGTTTTTTTGTTGCTGAGTATGGCATGGAGTTTGATTCATAGTGGATGGCTGGAGAAAGCTTCCCTGCAGTTGCATTGTCAGGGTTGTTCATCAAAATATGGTCAGATGGATGACCACTTCTAAGAGCAGAAATGTTGGGGGTTTTTTTTGTTATTGTTACCAAATATAATTATTTGTTAAATAAATATAATTTGCTTAAATACAAGCAGGTTACATGATGCTGCGCCAGATACCAAAGTCCCACTATCCTCTGTTTGTCTACCAACTTTTTGTTCTTGTTTAAACAGTTTCTGATTTATTGCAATATTGGAGACTTCAAAAAGAGAGAGAAAATAGAACTAGTTAACAGGAATATTGTGGTTTTCACACTTAAGGAGTTTAGGAACAAGCTCACTTCCATAGTCTGTTCCCTCCCATCACTCATTCCATATGTACAGGAGCACGCGCGCACAGTCTCCGTCATTTCAGAAGGTCAGGAATAGTTAAAAAAGCATCTTTACCACGGGATCCTTTTCTATATTTAACACTAGCTTTTTTTTTGTCCTGTAAAATAGGAACTTCCAGAAAGTCAGGGACTAAGTTTTGGTGCAGTCACAGCAGCTATACACCATCACTGCTGGAAGTAATGTCAAATCCAGCTCCATCTAATGCTATCTTCAGCCAATTTCTTTTCTTCTGGGTTTTATTTCTTCTTCCCTTTTTTTGTCTGTGAAGTGATGAAAACATGTACATGCCATGTCTCTTTTCTGAGGTCATTATTGTGCTTGAAGCCCTATAAGGTTTTCCCCTGAACAAAGCATAGTGGTGTTGCAGTTGAACACCAGACTGAAAGAGAACATTTATTCATACACAAACACCACTGTCCAGTTTGCAAGTCAGGAGCTGGAAAAGGAAACCTTATTGAAAGAACAAGACTGTGGAACATCATTGTCTTCTACATCAGGACCTGTGTTTACTGTAACCGCAACAAAGCAAACACAGTGCAAATAGGCATGGGCTTCCTTTGTCTTGTTCCATTCAACAGAGGGGTTTCTGTCAGAAGCAATGGCAACTGTCACTAGTAGTGCTTGGCACGGGTCAGTGGGTCACAACTTGAGGGTACTGATTTGGGTGGCACCACTGATGGGTTGTGTCACTGGTTTGGGCTTTCTTTGCCTTGTGATAAGCCAAAAGGTGGTTTGATTTAGCAAGTGATCTGGCAGTGAGACTGCAAACCAAATGCCTGTGCTGCAGCAATGAGCAAAGGCTCCACATGTGGACTGCATTTGAGGTGGAGAGTGATCCATGATCCAGTGTGTGTGCCAAACACAGCACCCAGATGCCAGTAGCCAATGCAATCTCATCTTCTTAAGCCAGAAGTAATGATAAGGGTGAAGGGAGAGGGAAATGGATGCATCTGCCTTCTGATAGAACCTAGGAATAAGCCACATGTAATTCAAAGAGCTGCAGCCCTCCCTGCCCCAGCAGCATCTAACAGTGCAAAGGACATGCAGGAGGTGCCTCAGTAAGCAGCGGGTCCACCAAATGTTCTGATAGATCTGAATTTTACCAACAAGATCCTGAAACTGCACATATCTCTGCTGATACAGCTACCTGGTGGGTTAACATGCTCAAGACCAGACTAAAATTCTCCCCAGTATAGACCCTTTCCTGATAAAATCCAGCCCTCAGTCCTTCAGTCAGCTCAGGAGGTGGGTGTACCTGGCATGTTCCCAACCAGCAGCACCACAGAGCAGTGGTTTGGCTGCCTGCACAGTGCATGCCTCCTCATTCATTAGCCTCACTGCTAATGCTCCAAACTTCCCGACTTATGGAAGGAACTGTCAGAGGCAATTTGCAGGCAGCCAGTGCTGCAGAACTGCAAAGAGTTATATTTTTATGTGTTGATGAATAATTTAGCAACAATTCTGTGTTATGTAAAATTACTGCTTTACTGCTACTGGGGCCAATGTTCGTACAAAGTGTTCTAAGCCCAGTTATACAAGTTAAAGCTTGCTAGTTTTATCCTATGCATCTGTCATTAGAGATAATTTTTCCAGGTTCAAACTGGGAAGCAGAGCAGGTCTTTCATTCCAGGGGAGGGAAGTTCCACATCCTCACTCTCCTTTATAGTCCTGATCATCCTATCTATTTTCAAATGGTCAGTCTTGCAATAGGTTGTGCAGTAGTGCTGGTTTTCTCCACAGAGGAGGATGCTATGAAATACATTTCCATATAAACACCATGGAAATCATCAATCCTCCAGACATTTGCTTAATATTACAGGGCAACCTAACACATATGTCCCCCTTCCCTTTGGATGAAGTGCACTTAATGTGGGCAGGGAACACAGAATATGGGCAGACACAGATATATCTGGTTTTGGTTTCA